GCCCTCCCCCCAAAAAATGTTCCGTCTTGGATGCCCAAGTGGCTTCCGCGCAATGCTTCCTGGCAGCCTGGTGCTTGCATGAGAATAAGTCTTTGCCACAACAGACATTATTGCCTCTACAGACATTATGCCATCTTGCAAGAGTGATGTATTTGGTATTGTGACTGAGAGTACTTCACGTCAAATTACGTCAAATTAAGGAAGCCACGGGGTACAGTTTTCTGACATTGATGTATTTGCACGCCTCTGCCTTCTAATTACCTTCTGACACATTTTCTTTCTTCTGATGTCCTATGTTTTTAATGACAGTCCACGATGCCTAGCATTGTTGTGTGATCCATGCAATGTTATTGCATTAAATGAATGTGGAAGTTAGCTAACTCATGCCTAGCTTCTGAGTTTTCCATGTCCCCCTCCCCAGTAATCATCATATCTATGTATATATGCATAAATTCCTTCCAAGACTTGGACTTTTATGATGAAACACGCGATCTATGCAGAGGAGAAAAGTGGTCGAGTGGGAACACGTTTCCCCCAACCTGCACTGCACGAAACATGAATAAACTTACAGCCACACTGTGTGCTGCAATTGCATTTAGAAAACAAAAAATGAGCTGTCGAAGAGACCAACTGTCATTCATACCTAAAGAGACGCCCCTAAGTGAAGCAAAGCTCACGATTTACCACAGAAGGAAAGTGAAGGTTCTTGTGAAGCCACACCCTTCATGGACCTCTAGAAACAAGCAAGACACAGATGTGAACACTTCACAGCCTAGAGTAACAGATTAGCCAGCGCGACTAGTGGCGCTTCGTAAAAACTCGGCACTGGGGATGTGGTAACAGGACGGTGCTATATCTGTTGCTACTGTGAGTGCACCTACTGCCCCGAAGACTAACTTCAGCGGCCAGCAGAACACAGGCCTACAGTGCAGATGCACCTGAAAGTGCACCGAGTCTGCACCATTGCAAAGTGAAGAAGCGGTGTTTCGCACTGCATTTGTGCTCGAGCATTGTAACAACTGATGCTGAGCTACACTAAGCAGGCAATTGACAAATGTGCACAAAGGGTGATAGGTGGCAGAAAAAAAAAAAGAAGAAGTGGAAGCACATTGGTCCGCCTCAGCTAGCGATGTCGTCACCTCGCCCGCTGCCCACTTGCGAGAAGTGGCTGCAATCGGCATTGCCTCGTTACCTGGGCAACCCGTGCCCAGCAGGGCAAAAAGTATAGATAAGGGGCCTGAAGCGAGCGTTGCAAAGTCTGGCTGAAGTCTTGTCTCGTGTTCTACTCTCGTTCATGGGGAAAAAATAACGGCTCTGCAAAAATAGTTATCTCTGGCAATGCAAAATGCAAAGGCATGCCTCACTGGGAGCTACATTTCTCAAAGTATTTTGCGAAATGGTGCAGCTTTTACAATCATGAGGCATTGGCTAGAAATTATTGATATCATTTAATTTGAAATTGCACTGCATGTAGAATTTTATTTTCGCTTCTTGGCAATATCAACACTTTCTGTCAAGTACGAGCACCTATGGGTAATAACATTGCAGCATAACTATCAAAATATACAGAATCAGGAAAGAAACCTTTCTGAGATAACGAATGTAGAACACATAGTGCTGACACTAAGAAAGGAAAAATTTCGACTTCAACTCCCAGATACTGGATTTTGAGCTAATCAGGGCTTACTATACTAGGAAAAAGGGGAGTGGGGAACACAGGAAGTGTTAAACATAGAGCACTACGCACGCTACGTTTAATGCTGCCTCCTACAGTGTTAGTCTACCATGTGCAATATATAAAACATGTACTGAACCCGAGCCTCAGTAAGCTTGCCACCCTAGGGTCACAAAAATGAAAGCCATCGCCCGAAGTCATGTGTGGTGGCCATTGTTAGATGGCGACATCATAATCACGGTTCAAGAGTGCTCCGCTTGCCAACAGCAACAGAGACCATCAAGGCCAGTGCCTATGATGCCATGTTCCCAAACATGGTCTGGTCAAGGCTCCACGTGGAATAAGCAGAACCTTACAGGAATTCCTATATATGTATTTTTTTTATTGCTACAGACGCATACTGCAAATTCATTGAAGTTTTTCTCTTTTCATCACCCCCAGTTGAACATACAATGGCATACATGCAGCTAGCGTTTGCGAATCACGGCCTCTCAGACATGGTGTTATCAGACAATAACCTCACATTGACGAGATAAGTGTACAAGACATTCTTGAAAAAGAATGACGTGAAGAGGATGCTAGTACCGCCGTATCATCCTGATTCTCACGGTACTGCAGGGAGAGTATTCGAAATGAAGAAAAAAAGAAACTATGAAAGTAAGAAATCATTCAGTGCAAAGCAACACACGGACAGACAGAGAGCGGGACTGGCGTTGTCCGCTCTCTGCCTGTTCGTGTGTTGCTTTAAGCTGAATAAATCTTCAGAAGTCATGAACCAACTAGCCCAAGAAAAAGTTTTTGCTAAGTCACATGAAAGTAAAACAACTGACAGTTGGGCCGCGGAACCTTCGTGATAGACGGAGGCTTCGCACTGCATCGAATCTGCAACGTACAAACCTAAGAAAAAGAATCCTTCAGAAACAACACACCTAGAAGATGGAGTAGAATCAAAGAGTGAAACAAATGGTGCCCATACAACCAGGAGACAGAATATTCATCAGGAATTTTAGGCCAGGTACAAGCTGGTCTCCTGCTATAGCCCCCGGGCAACACATTTCACAGAGCTACAACTAAATGATGGCTAACAATAGACTATGAATCTCACCCTCGTAAAGCAACAGTTGATGCGAGACCAGCACAACTGTCAGTGCTTCAGCATCTCTGCCGCATGCTCGGAACCACATTTAACATTATCATCAGGAACCAGAGGCACATCTGATGGTGCATTATCCGAAGCAGTGACAAGCTTGGAGGACCAAGTACTACCATTCGGTGATCCCTATCATGCTGGAGACCACTGACACCATAGCATCAACATGCACCGATTTGTCTCCGCCTCTTTTTCCACCTCAGCTTTGTCAGAGCACTAGGGAACGCAGTTCGATGTTGCTTTTCTCTGTGAACTGTTACTGCTTACACTCTGTTAGCCTGTTTTGTTAAGGATGGCAGGAGGTGTGGTAACTGACCACTAGGTGGCTTGAGATTTACAATAAAAGGCAGCGCACATGACCTGAGCGGTCAATGTACCTACTCCCCTCGATGCAGCTTGAGTGAAGCACTGCTGAGAGGATACCTTACAATTCAAAATTTGCTTATAGCTTGCTTCTGACTTTAGCTCCAAATTTTCTGCAGCTTTTATCAGAATTACACACGAGATAATATGCCACAGCGGAATAGTAACTTGTGTACTTACAGTCAAACCTCAATATATTGAACACGGATATATCGAATTATTGCCTATATCGAACGGTTCCTATATCAAGCAGAAAAACGCATGCATTATTGATTTTTTATTTCCAACATAGTTTGACATATAATAGATATATCGAACTCAGCCCCCCCAAACCGCCCGCGCTCCATTGACAGTCGGCGAACTTTCCCGCAACTCTCGAAAGTGGCGGTAGAGCTGCGGGCGTTTACGAATGCTGCACACATCAATGGCGCCGAGAGCGCCACTTTAACGTAGGGGCGCACACGCGCCGCAGCCTTGCGGTAGAGGTTCTTGAATGAGGAAAGTGAAGAGAAAAGCGCGGAGCTGTTATTTTCGTTCAATACGAAGGCATCGACACGGCTTCGCGCGCTGGAAGGGGAAGTGGGAGGTAAAGATTGAGGAGGAAAGTATAGGAGGGAAAGGACGCAGACGACTGTCTCGAACGCGGCCCGCGCTGCCGCCGGGAAAGGAAAAGCAGTCAGGCGAGCCGGCATGGGCGCGCCATGTGCGCGCTTTACACCCGGACTCACGCCGCAGCCTTGCAGCTTGCAGTCGTTGCAGTCTCTAAGGTGTCAACGGCACACTGCGCACTTGTTGAAAGCTCCTCCCCCGTAGCATCGGCAGGCATCGGTCGTTGTGCTCGCAGTGTTCGTGCGTTTGGAGTTAGGCCTGTCGCGCACTGTTCGGAGTTGGGCCTGTCGCGCTGGGGTGCGCGACAGGCCCAACTCCGAACGGCGGAGCTCACGAATGTGGAGATTGTCGCCGAAGCTACTGCTGAGCAGCCAAATGAAGACTCTGCCGAGGTAGATCCCGCAAGCGCTGATGGTGCCCGCTCTCGACATCAGCTGAGGTCGTAGCTGCCTTGGCCCTTGTGCGCTGCCACTGCGGCGCGATTGAAGGCACCGGCCTATCACTTATGGATCGCCTGGACTATATTGAGGACGCAGTCGTCAAACACGCCATGGCTAACAAAAAGCAGGCTACTCTGTTTCAATATTTTAAACCAACACAATAAATACTATGTTTGAATCTTCAAGTGCGTATTTACTGCACCACACTTGAACGGTTCGTTGGTCGTTTTTAGCAAGCTGTTGACGCATTTTTTTCGTGATGTTTTTATATCGAATTCTGGATATATTGAACTATTTCGCAATCGCCGCGCCGTTCGATATATCAAGGTTAGACTGTATTGCCACCAGTTACAATGGCTCTAACTTGGATTCAAGTGGTGATCTGTGTTCGGGAGCCAGATGTGACAGTTGATGGGCTACCAAGGGAAATTCGTTATTGGCATATGTGCAAGGTGGCTTCAATGCACATGTTCAAAGGGCTGTAGGTGGCAGCACTGTAGCAGACGACAACGGCAGTGTGCATTGCTAGGTAAAAATTGTTCTTCAGAACATGACGCTGCCTTCAGCAAACAAGTTCTGTACCTAGCAAACAAGTTCTGTATCACAGAAATTCCCAGCTTTTCAATTTTTTTTATCTGGCTTGTAAGGTCCAAGTGAATTTCAATTCACTCACCAACGAAATTCGGAAGCCAGAGAAAATGCACCTAACCTTTGAGCCAACAACTCTTAAGACACAAGGAGCAGGAAGCAAAGAATCACTCACTGCTTTCGGGATCTCGGTGTACTGCTTGCCGTCCAGGTAGGAGCTGGAGACTGGACTGTTGACCACAACACCACACTGCGGTTCCACCCAGCACTCGGTTACCAACTGCAGCTCGCCGTCGGCCTCGGCCGTCTCCATCTCATTGTCCTCGTCATCCGAGAGGCTACGAACGCCGAGAAGTGTTCACTTTGTGAATATGTCGCATTTTCATGATGGCGCAGTGTCGGCATAATATTTTGCATGGTCAACTCGCAACATACTAGAACATTTGAGCAAGTTATAGAAATACCCTGCTTTATATGATATGGTTCTGTTCCGCTTTTGCACTTCCTATATTCATACTACTGTTTCTAACATGCTTTACCTGTGGGAGTTCCTCAATGCATACAGAAACGAAATGATGACAACAGTGGCTAACTCCAGTTTTTTTTTCTTCTTTAAGTAAAATAGCTACTTGCCCATTATGAAATAACTCTTCACCAAGGGTCGTTGATGTTAAACAGCTTTAAAGTCACCTCATTAGAAATTATGCCGCTGCCCGAAAATTCGCAGCAACAGTAAAGTAGAACACACTTGCTTACATTATGTGCTTTCCTGGTTACACATTCCACTGTGGAAGGCACCACTTGCATAGCCTACTCAAAAACGTGGCTGCCATGATTGAGTTAATTGCTAAGGCAAAAAAATATGCGAACAAACTGAAATCATTTGATAGTGTTATGGGAAGAGCGCACAAGATTATAGACAGCAGTGCTCTATGTCGAGGTGATAGGATCAATCATGTTTAGGACAAGCCAAGTAGAAGTCACCTTTCGCACGACGCACAGCTTAGTGAACAAAACGGTTCCCAGATGGTAAAGCTTTCGCTCTACGCCAAACCCCGTGGCATAAGCTGCATGAGGCAATGGCTCTTAAGTTTCGTCGTACTCGAAATCTGATTCCTTCAAATCACTCTTGCCGCATACTTAATTTACAATGCCCCAATCCATGCACGGTTCTGCGGTGTCGGCATCATCATAGGCCGTAATTAAACCATCGCAACAGATGTCCTACCCACACTGCGAGGTCGAAGTCGACGATGAGCTGCCACGAATCGTCGCCGAAGTGGTCCTGTTCGGAATCTTCAGGCTCGGCATCGGGCCCGACGTCGACGAAGTCGACCTTGTGAAAACAGCTTCGCGCCCATGTAGCCGTCACCGCCGCCCACGAAATATTCACCATCTCTACAGCTAAATACCGAGACGCCCCCAGTGGCAAGTTGGTTACCAGATGGTCAACAGCTATGAGCAAGTGCTCCGCAACGTGGCACCTAACGCGCGGATTACGCACAAGCCAAGCGGTCGCACTTTCGAAGTTTTGTTGAGCAGCAGGTAAAAGCGTGCAAGGCTTCCCGTCCGCCATCCTGACAACACACGCACACAGAGAGCGAGCAAGGCGCGCACACGCAACACACATGCCAGAATGCGTGGTACAGCCCTGGGCCCGTTTTTAGTCAGAAAACAAAACCTCTGAATTCGAGTCAGCGTGGCTGGCGTCGCAGAGCGGTGGAGACGGGCGAAGGAGTTGTGTCAAAAGTGGAGAGCCGATTTGTGAGAGAAGGGCGAGTTTCCATAGAGTGAAAAAAAGGGGAAGATATGATGGGAAGGCAACCTTGAAAACCAAAATACGCGGGAAGGAGGCACATCGGGCAGCTTGCTTAGAAGGTCTGCGAAACGCGCAACTCGCGCATAAACACGTGCGGAGGTCTAACCACAGCTGCCTGGACCGGCACGCGCGGCGGTGTTCGAAGAATTGGAGGCCGTGGTCAAAGAATCGTGCTGTTGTGCCAGTGGGATTGCGTGGCCTCACCGACTTCGATATTTCGCGATTCGTTGGACGCAAATTAACAGCCGTTTTTACACTTCCGCACGCGTGCGGAGGGCATACCGAGCCAAGTGTGAAGTGAGCGAGAACAGGCCCTAACCACGAAAAGAATAGCAAATTATCAAAGTGGGTGGAGTAATGTACGTGTGTGCACTAGAACGATGCGATAAGGCAATACGCAGACGATCGGATACAGACGATGTTGGCAAATGGTCTTGTCACTCCAGGTCAGCGACGTCAAGGACAGTACCAGCCATCAAAAACAGAGGAGATGGCTGACCGGTCTTCAAAAGATGGGTGGCAGTGTGAAAACACGGGCCACGTCTGGCAGGTGCGGGGTGCTCAGAATAGCGGGGGACAAAACTCGTAAGGGTGCGTAACAAAGAGCGGTCGGGGAAAGCCCTAACTAGTGGGGTGCGGAGGCAGGGTCAGTGTTTAACACTGCTTAATGACCCTGACGATTTGCTTGTTCTTATTCATTTAGCGAACTGGAAGCATGGCAACACGCAACCGGCGGATAAAGAACCCCACAGCATGAGTGCTTGTGCTGTGATTCTTCCTCTGTCTGTTGCATATACCCACACTCCCAGTTTGCTGAATGAATATGAACTACCGAACTAGCCTGTTTTTCTATCCACGTGGTGGTTTTTGGCATAAAGGCCAGATATAGACAAAGCACCTAGGTGCTGGTGAAAAGTTTAGTACGAAGCCACACGTGTATTAAAATTGCGACGCTGACTAGATAACAGCGATGTCAAAAAAAAAAAAAAAAAATTATGTCCTTTAATGGTGATCTGCTAAAGCCCACCAATTTTAGCCGCACTACTGCCTCTATGTTCCGCGGTATGAGAGGTTACTAGCCAGCGTGAATATTCAAACAAATTTGATATTCAGGACCTGGACTCGCTTTGACAGAAATATAATATTTCCAAATTTAAAAAAGTGGTTGCACCAAAGCGTGGGGCTGCTATGCAGTGAAACTGCCTAATCAGGTAAAATCTGCACTGTTACAAAGACACACAACATGGTTAAAGGGCCAATCGATCGGCGACGAGTTGACGTCACTGTGCATGGAAGGAGGTTGGTCACGCGTGAAAAAGATGCGCGAGCTTCTTTGAGGGAGTGTAAAAAAAAAAGTCTGAGCCTGTTGACAGGCCCTTTAAGTGGCCATGTTACCTGCACCATCATTAATGATTATTCTTTTAATGTTTTTTTTTTAATTTCCAGATTTAAACATGTGTTATAGAGACTTGACAGGCTAAGTACCGTATTTACTCGATTCTACCGCGCCCTCGATTGTAACGCGTACCCGATTTCCACTGCGAAAAAAAAAAAAAAAGTAAGACATCGATTGCAACGCGCACCCATTTTTTTTTTCTTTTTTTTTTTTTTTTGCTGGCCCGCACGATCACACCACTTGAAAAAACGATTCCTTTCGGGATTGTCTTCCATTTAAATATGAGGTACGGGCGAAGCTTGTGCCCATCTGACGTGTAACAGAGCATTGCCGTCACTGTAGTTTTACTGTGGACCGATGTCAGCACGCGAACTTGCTTCGCCCCCTTCTTCTCGACGGTTGTGGTGCCAGGCATGTCGAAGTAAAGAGGCGTCTGATCGGCATTCCAGATTTGCCCAAGCAGGTAGCCGTTGTTGCGCCGCAAGTTTAGGACGAACCTCTGAAAACTGTAAAGCTTTTCATCGTACTTCTCCGCAAAAGTTTTCGCATATGCATGTTCCCCTTCGGAGGGAAGAGCCTTTCCTCTTCATATAGTTAATTAGCCAGCACCTGCTCGCTTTAAACAGGCTCCGCATTAGACTTTTTTCTAAGACTAATTGCATAGCCCGCACTTGGAGCAGTTCTGTCGTCACGGGCTGCTGTGCCGCTCGCTGCTCAAGCACATACTCGCAGAGCAGCTCTTTAATTTGCGGAAACGGACCCTGCTGTGGTCCACTGAAGCTTTTGCGTGAAGCTTCGCTGTCGACAATCTTCTGCTTTTGTTTCCGCCAGTCCCGCACGAACGTTTCGAGAAGGACCGCGATGCGGCCCGATTTCCGTCCGTTTCTGCACACGCGATGACTTTTCTTTTAAAAGCGGCATCGTGGTGCACTCGAGTTTTTGGAGTCGGCCATTCCACGCCGTCGATACTAATGCACTACTAGATGACGAACTCTTCAGTACACGTACGAAGTGCCGCACATGAGAAACACATAGGCAGAAATGGACGACGCGCCATGCCGACGCACGTAGGGGGCGGCTATTTTAGATTTGCCGATGGCAATAGATTGGCCGTAATTTTTTTGTTCGTACTCGATTCTAACGCGCATGCGATTTATGAACTCGCTTAACCGGAAAAAAGGTGCGCGTTAGATTCGAGTAATTACGGTATATTAAATTTCAACACATACCATACTTCATTGCCAATAACTTGAACCCCTCATATTTCCGGTACTATTCGAATGCACTTAAAAATCATTTTGAAATAAAAATATATTATATCCACCCAAGCCCAGTTCTAGTTCTTATAAATATTATACAAGTTAGTTGGATAATGATAAAAATCTTCACTTTCGTTTTGATATAAAACACATACTACTATATGATGTATTAAATTCGAAATTGTTAGACCAAATCCTTACATACTTTGAATTTGCTTCAAGATACAGATTTACAATTCACTTATCCTAGAACTTACCTTTCCCGAATCGTGGTGTTTGAGTGCGGGGGAAACAGCATGTACTGCACCACACAGGGAAGCAGGGAGGCTTCCGAGGAGCCCCCAGTCACCGTATTCTGTGATGAAAGAAAAATTCGACATCAGACTCACAACAGCAACTCCCACGGTCTTAATCGTAAATTAACAACGAGGGAAAAAAATGGAGCATTAGGACACAGAGCAGCTGCTGAAAGATGGTATGCCGTGAAAATGACAAGACCACACCGGTATCGCGTAAAGCAGCAAAGTGGGAAAAACTGCTACTGCTCCTGAAGGCTTACCTTCATTTCAATCTCCAGGGCCATGTTCAAGATGCCCGAGCTTGAGTGAGCAAAATGAAAGCCTTCTTCCAGGCGCATTCTGTGCAGAGAATTAATAAAGACATGTCTACACACTTGCCAAGCTTTTCATCTAGACACACGGAAGATTCGTGAAGCGGGGGAGGGAGACGCAACAGTGCGACAAGACAGAAGAAAACTGGAGTACGTATCAATTTACTGTTTCTCAAAGCTTCAGCGATGTCATAAACATGATTGCCAGTAAACTTGGCAACCTTCAGTGATCGCATTGGGACACGTAATTTCATGACGTGTGTAAGCATCTGTAGCTAAGAGACAAAATTTGCAACCAGTCAGTAGCCCCTCTACGATCTTAATGCACTTTTCCGCGTGACACCAATCTAATGCTCCAAGAGTGATTGATTCAAAAGGTCCGGACACGATCACAAAATTTAAAAACTGATATGCTGAATTATTACTTCCGTTTCACAGTAGCGCTAGAACTGTTTTTCAGGAGATTTGTGGCCATGCCCGTACAATTAGGAAGATTGCGAAAAATCTGGGAGTCTCTTGGAAAAACCCGTATAGTTGCCAGGTATGTATTTACTAGCTATTGAATGTAAATGAGGTGATACTAAATTTGGGTTGTGAGGCTACGCAAGGCAGACATTTTATTTAGACTGCAGTCGAAACCTGCTACAACAAACGCCACTTCAACGAAATTTCTGCTACAGCGAAAAATTCACGGTTCCCCGTCAGCTGTCCATAGGAGTCAATACATAAATATTGTCGCAACAACGAACACTTCTTCTTCTGCCGTCCCGCTTCAACGAAATTTCACGATGGGATTCCAGACACAGATAGTTATTGCCATACAAGAAACACAATCTTTAACACTTTGATGCATTTTGAGAAAATAAAAATACGTCTACGAAGTCTAAAACGCATTGGCACTGCCAGAAACCACCACTGTTCAGCAAGCATGGGCGCCGCCATTGCTCTATAGCGATGCCAATGAAAGATGGCCCTGCTTTTGCCACTGGCTTGTTTTCGAGCCACAGACGATTTGAAGCTGAAGCTCAGTCGCTCAGTTCATGGTTTCCTTCACGCAGCTGCTGCGTGCAACCGCGTAGTGGTGCCTTTTTCGATTCTAATGCTTATCATTTTATTCGCACTCGGCCAGTCTGGTACCTATTCAGAGCGGCTGTTCGTCCGCATTATCAACCAAACCAACCAGCCGCGAGAGTTGTGTGATCAAAATGGCATAGAATAGGGCAAACGTCACCGCTCCACGATACCATGCCTCCATCTCGGCGTTGTCAGATAGACTTTGATGGCAGACGGCTGCTGATGTTAACGTGTTAATGCAACGGTTTGGTACGTTTGCGAATGCAGTTGTAGGCGTTATTTCAGCGGTTTTCACCACGGCCTCGCTATGCATGACTGTGAATTGCATTGTGATGCTGCTGGGAAAAAATAGGAAGCAACATCACTTTTTTATTTTAAGAACGAATGTTCCCTTGTTTAGCTAGCTCAGATCAGCTATACATTTTTTTATTTCACTACAACGAAATATTTTCTGCGGCCCGTGAGTTTCGTTGTAGCGGGGTTCGACTGTACCTCCAAATCCACAAAACCTTGCATTCTACTATCATAGGTTGGTTTTAAAACATCTTTTTCAGTTAACAACAAATTGAAAATGGCACAAGCAGTTCACTTTTCCATGACTGATTCCAGCGCACTTGCATCAGAAGCGGGAAAATATTCAACCGCTCTACGACCGATGCCGATGTAACACGAGCAACCCCACACATACAAGCCCTGTCACTTGTCAATTCTAAGTATAGTCATTTTGCCTCTTAAAATCCCTCTCTGTAACTCACAAGACAGCTTGTGTATATATATATATATATGATAAGGCCATGTCCCTTCCCCTCGTTTATGGGGAGGACATGTACTCAAACCTCAATATAGCAAAGCTGCATCTTACAAAAAAGTAAGTTTGTTATATACGAAAATTCGTTATAACATTATAATACTCACACTATATATTACAAGACTGTTCTTCATTTACTTTGTCATAGCCAAAATTTCATTATATCCAAGTTCGTTATATCGAGGTTTGAGTGTATAAAATTATTTTTGCAGCCATAGTGAATTAGCATGCCATGTGCACATGCTACTCGATGCACAAAGGAATTCAGGTGCTCTTGATGAATTTGGATTCCAAAGAAAGTGAATAATTAGTGGCTCCACCACTATGAACTGAAGGCTGATTATTTTCAATTACTGACTCGCTCGTGACTTGCTTGAGTATGTTCATTTGTTCGTAATGGGTGCAACTTTTTATTTGATGAGACTATCCTTGATAACAAATGTTTACATTTCTCGTAAGTCATGCTTCCTACATTTCTGCATAGTGCGCACAAACAAAAAGTGCAGTAGAAGGGTTAAAGTGATTCAAGCAATCTAGTTTGACACTTCATTCTAGTGCAGTGACTTGCTTCCCCTTTTCTTATTTTCTTATGCCAGAGTGAACTTCAAATTCAGATCCTGTTGCATAAAACCTTTGCCCTATATTCAAGCAGTGCAAAGGTACATTCAAGCCTCACTATAATGAAGTTACGTCTTACACACAATAATTTCGTTATATCCAAAAATTCGTTCTAAAATTACATTCCTAACATTATATCTATTGCAAAATTATTCTTACTTTACTTTGTTGTAACCAATATTTCATTATATCGAAGTTTGAGTGTAGTATGTACGACAAAAGGCTTTGCATGAACATAGTACTTTTCGCATAACCGTTTGGGTCCGGCGGAATTGCTTATCCTGTCTTTCAAAATTTGATCTGCAGTGTGAATTGGATACCGATTTGCTAAACCATTCAACTAAGTCATCTTAACTGGGCTACTACATTGCAAGGCCTTTTAAGTGACCCAATTTTGTTCGGAGGCAGAATGCTATTAAACAAACCTTCGGAACAGATATTTTGTTGATATTCGAGCTTGCACAGCACTTCTAACCTTCAGTTTATCTTTAAACGCTGTCAATTACATAATTACTGAGTGGCTCACTTTCTTGTTTTTTCTGACTGCTATGTTTAAAGACGTAGGTTCAAGTCCTAACAGCAGTTGCATCTTAATGAGGATCGAAATGCTGGAATACTTCTTTACTAAGGTTTAGGTGCGTGCTAAAGAAGCCCAGGTGGTAAGAATTAAGAATAGTAATTATTGTAATTTTACGCCCCAAAACCGCATTATAATTATGAGACTGCATAGCAGAAGGCACCAGAAATGTCAACCTACCGGGGTTCTGTTGGGTGCATTTAACGAGCTCCCTGCATTTAATCTCCCCTGAAACGTGGTTCAATGGCCAGTATTCAATCTCGCGACCTTTGGGTCAGCAGTGAAACATCATAACCACTTGGCCGCCACAGTGCGTGGTGATAAAAACTTGGTTTTGGCACCATGTAAAACCTAAGCAATTATTACAGCAGAGCTGTCATGCGCGAGATTATTTCATGTGGTGCAAAAAGAAGACTAGAATCACCATGAAGAACGAGCCTGATTAGTGTTAATTATGTCTAAGGTAACCAGATTAGTTACATCGGTTGCCTGATTAAGTGCACATTAGACTGACTTCTATGTTTAATTACCAAAGACTGGCAAATTATTTTCTATATAGTACTTAATTTGTTTAAGTTTATTAAACAACCTAGTTAGGCTAATTACACTAATGAAACCAAATTGATGCGGTGCTGCTACATGATGGCTAATCAATACCCAATACACTCACACTTCATTATAACAGTTCAATCTTACACGAAAACGAGGTCGTTATTTCAAACATTTTGTGATAAAGATATCCTCCTAGCACTATTGAAAGACTAATCTTCATTCCCTTCATTATAACCAACATCTTGTTATATCCAGGTTCGTTATATCGAGGTTTGAGTGTAGATGCTGTACGCTAAAGGCCAGAACTCGGTTAACAAGAAAGATCATGCAAACACTTTGAGCAGTCGTGTGTGGATGTGCAAATCAAGAGACCTAGTAACACTTCACAAAACTTGGCAAAACCTAGCCAAGCCAGGAGCAACTAGATGCCCATTAACTCTGCTGCGCTACAGCCTCGTGACTCTGTGAAAGCTGCGCTAATACTTATTATCGTTGTCTTTAGTCAGTTATGTCTCACGCACTTTGCCAGGGTCTTGAGGATGCGGGTGATGGCGTGCAGGGGAAGGGGCACGCTGGGCAGCCGCTGCACCGTCCAGATCCACCGCCGATGGTGGAGGTATCGGCTCAGCTGGCCGGTCGGGTCCACCACGGCAGTGATGCCGTTCGCCTTGCGTGCCAAAGAGCCGCTGGCCCCGCTGCTCGAATGCCGGTGCAGGTGCGGAGTTGTGTGCAGAAGCGGGTGGGCCAGCGTCACGTCCATGAGCGCCACAATGGGGCTGAGAATGTCCTTTGGCATCTTCTCGTGCCTATAAGAAAGGCGAGAGAAAGGGCGGCAGCCATTTCGGCAGACTGCGCAACTAGGCAGATGTTCCCGCTACATGCACCCACAGCTCTCAACACAACAGTGTTTCATTTTATCTAACTGCCTGTATGAAACATACTCAACTTTATAATCTTCTCCTCCCCGGGAAAGCGTGTAATTTAGCATTATTTTTCGACAAATTTTTCATGGGGCACACCTGAAAAGAATTAAGGCAGTTTCACACTAGTAATGTCTAGCCTGAAGGAAGCGCAGATCTGAGTGACTGGCCAGATCTATTATTTATGTTTCTATTTATTTTTTAATTTTTCTCCTCTATCTTTTTTTAACTTTTTGTCTGCCTGCTTACTTCTATTCATGTCTTTATTCCTCCTTCTCACTGTTTGTGTGTTTCTTTCTATCTCTATTCCTCCCTTCATATTTTTTGTTAATTTTTGTCTTGCTTCCTTTTGTTTCTTTTTAGTTCTTTCTCCTCTTTTTCTATCTCTTTCCATCTCTCTGCACCCATTCTGTCACCCATCAGAGTTATTGCATCACACATCGGACAAATTGGTGCACATGTTCTGAGAGTGAAGCATAAGACGAAAAAAAATATGAAGACAGCAGGCGCCAGTTATAATGATATTTTCATGTTCACTCTGCACGTACTAATGGTCGGCTTAAAACACATCCTACAAGTGTTACTGCGAATGTGCCCCCGAGATGAATGGACAGCGGTGTTCAGTTTGAAATTTGACGTCTTTTCCCAAACCGTGGCATTGAAAATTTTCGCAGGCTTCATCATGAGTGCCCAGTGTATTCAACGCAAATGATCAGACCCAGTGCGGGGCCCTATAATCACGTGGTAAAATCGCTATATCGCCGCCGACCTTTCACAGTTCAAAGCGCAATCACAATTGCTGGCGCGCACGCTAGCTCAGCAGCCATGAGCGGGCAGCTCGCATACACTTCGATGTGCTCGGCTCTCATCACAAAGAGACTGTCCGAAAAGTGTTGCTCTCCCAAACTGTTCCGATAACCGAACACCACCCCTACTTTTTTTGAGCATGTACCGTTACTATCGCCCTTCTTTCTCTTTTTTTTTTCTTTTTTTACAGAACGCTGCCATAAAGTTATAAAACAATCTGTTTCACCGCAAGAGTCAAGCAATAAATGCGATAGCAGCTGACTGTGTTGTTCTGTTTCACCGCAAGAGTGAAGCAATGAATGTGATAGCAGCTGATTGTAATGTTATACAAAGTAAGACTGCCAGCTGACTCTTTTGAATATATATCATGCAACTCTACAAAATGCTGGTGTATGAGAAAATACGGCCGTGCCAGGGAGAAGTGCTCTTTTTGCACTGTCTCTTTGCATTCAAAGAACAGCCCGTAGATGGGTTTACGGGCCGTACACCCTGATGTCTGCCATGATAGCACATGAGGCACTGATCGCGACAGTGCCTTTACAATCAAAGTTCACAACTACTGCTTGAGCGATCACTACCTTAACTAAACAGAAACTATACAGTCTAGCCCACATATAATGGCCTCACTTAATACGAACTTTCGCTCAAAACGAACAATATCCGTGTGAGCGTGAAAATATACATTGTTTCAATGGCACAAAATGGCATTTACAATGAACAGCTGCGAGCGCTGCCGATCGGTTACAGCAAACAAGGTCGGCGCTCTGCAGACTTCCCAGGAAACCACTTTCGACCGCCGATCAGGCATTGGCGAGGTGTCCATACATTCTTACTGTTAAACGGCGCCCCTGCCTCCGGGACCCTCTACTTTCCGCCCTCCCCGACTGCTTTTTGTTACGCACCCCTCCGTCCTTTGTCCCCTCCACTATTCTGAGCACCCCACATCACCAGACGAGGCTGTGTTTTCACACTGCCACAGATCTTTCGAAGACCGGTCAGCCATCTCCCTTGTTTTCGATCGCTGGTACTGTCATTGGTGTCGCCGGCCTGGAGTGACCAGACCATTTGCCAACATCATCTGCCATTGACTGTATCCGATCAGTCTGCGTCTAGTGCACGTGTGTACACTATCCCACCGACTTTGATAATTCGCAATTTGTTTCCTGTTTATGACATGTTCTCGCTCACTTTGCAGTGAGCTCGGCATGCCCTTCACACGCGTGCGGAAGCACGAAAACTGCTGTTCATTTGTGGGAAACGAATCGCAAAATATCGAAGTCAGAGAGACCACGCAAACGCGCTGGCGCAACAAAATAATTTTTTTACCGTCGCTGCTCTGACTTCTGTGTGCGCAGACACTCTTTCAAGTTTTTCTACGTGCGAGTTGTGCACTTCGTGGACCTTTCAAGCAAGCTACCCGACATCCCTCGTTCCCGCGTGTTTTGGTTTTCAAGGTCGCCCTCCGGCCGTAACCTCCCCTTTCTTCACTCTATCGCAACTCCTTGCCCTTCTCTCGCAAATCTGCTCTCCTGTCTTGATCACAACCCCTTCGCCCGTCTCCACTGCTCCGCGACGCCAGCCACGCTGGCTCGAGTTTTGTTTTTTGACTAGAAACGGGCCCAGAGCTGTTCCGTGCATTCTGGTATATGCATCGCGTGTGTGCGTCTTGCTCGCTTTTGGTGTGCGTGCGTGGTCACGATGGCAGACGGGAGGACTTGCACGCTTTTTCCTGCTTGCTGCTCAACAAAACATCGAAAATGTGACTGCTTAGCTTGAGCGTAATCCACGCGATAGGTGCCGTGTTGCGGAGTGCTCATAGCTGTTGACCACTTGGCAGCCAACTTGCCGCTTCGGACGTTCTGGTATTCAGCTGTGGAGATGGTGAATATTTCGTGGGCGGCGGTGACAGCTACATGCACGCAAAACTGTGGTCGCGAGACTGACTTCGTCGAAGTCGAGCCCGATGCCGAGCCTGAAGTTTCCGAACAGAAACCACTCCAGCGGCGATTTGTCGCAGAGCGTCGTTAACTCCAACATGGGAGAGAGGGTGGGTCATCTGCTGCGATGGTTTCATTACGGCCGATGATGTGCCAACATCGCGCCGTGCACGGTTTAGGGCATTGTGATTTAAGTACACAGCAAGAGCAATTTGATGTAATCGGATTCTGAGAATGGCGAAACTTAGGAGCCAGTGCTTCATGTAGCTTTTGCCACAGGCCTCGGCGAAATGCACACTGCCGTTTGAAATAAACTCGAGACCGCCCCCATCGCTTCTGCTCTTCAAAACATGTGCATCACGGACTTTTTTGGGCAAAAATATTTTGTGTTTTCACTCTCAACTTTTTCAGAAGCTGTGTTTCATTTACTCCGAACTTCAGGATATAGCGAACGGATGCCCCGTCAGGCTCAGGTTCGTTATAAGCGGGCTCGACTGTATAACCGTTTCTATGAAACCGAAAGCACGATGTTCCAGCCACATTTTCGGGCACGGGGCTTGATGACTGTCGCACGTTGCGGCTAAATTTGGGTGGTGCACCGCAGTAGGGCGCTAATAAACGAGTGCGGTGTAACAGGGGTGGCACGATGCAGAATGGTGCGGATAAGCAAGTTTGGTGCACGATAGCGCGAATCGCGCAGCTGTTTCACCCATATTATCAGCACTCCCTTGCAGGGGCGAGGAGGGTTGATTTTCTTCTTTATATGCGCTGCTCTTAGCTTGTTTATCACCGACATTCCAGAGGTATTCTCGTTATCCTTGATTGCAGAGTTTGCTCTGCCCAACACAGCCAGACACAAAGATATCGTTAGCTTGCCAGCAAAGCTCGCCACTTCGACAAGAGAGCAGACATAGGTACTATGTGTGCAGACAGCGATAAGGCTTTGTTGCGTGTACCTGTGTCGCAAGGAATACCTCATTCTGTTGTAATACTACTGATCGTCTTTCAGTTCTCTGTAATTCTGACATAAAAACAACTGTTCCTAATTTTTTTTTATTACAATTTTTCCTGGCTTCACACAATACATACACTCAAAAACAGTAATTTGGCCATCAGCACTCGAAACTCAAATGGTTATTAGAAGAGGGCACACAATCTACCTGATGAGGATCCTTTCGAGGGGCTTGCGGAAGAGGATGCAGCAACTGGCCTTGCGGTAGGTTCGCGGCCCAGGAGGTCTGATGCAGAGGCCGCCATCCGAGTGCGCATCCTTGGCAACACGTTTGCTCAGCTCTAGGCTCAGGATCTGCTGAGTCATGTCCCTCACAATCTGCAGAGGCAGTCAGACCAGACAGGGAAAGTCAAAAGCCAGTCTCGGCAGACAGCCTCTGCTTATCGTGACGACTTATCGGGCAAAGTGGTCTAAACTAGCAAAAAAGAGTTCGCAGCCATTCCACTCTGTGAAGGTGGGCAAACAACCAAGCTGTACACTGTAGCAGGCACAATGGCATCACTACCATTTTCACATTATCACCCACTGGAAACATTACACGAAGATCTTGTGACAATATTGCCACACATACTTGCACTTCTTTTCAATGTGACGAGATTTAAATGACTGAAACTGTTATGCATGTTATCGCTAACTACAAACCACACCATATTGAACCAAAACATTCTCGTAAAATGTCACTGGTTTAAATCTACTGCCCACACAAGAAAAGCTGTGCACTTTCTGCAACATATGAGCAGCAGCACTTGAATGTTGGTGACACATGTATGAAAGCGGACGAACTTCACCTAAGGGGCACATCCTCACCAACCAATCACTGTGTTCATCGCTATTGCTGTACGACACGTGTTTCGGTTTGCAGGGCACAAGCTCGCCTAATAAGGTGTTCAATCTTTACCTGCCTGATCACTGTGTTTTTCACCCACCATGGTGAGGTTGATGATATGATGCGTGTCACGCGAAAAAAAAAAGTGCACTTACAGCATTGCGCTGCTCGCCCGGTGTGCCACCCAAAAAGGCAAATCTGATCACCACGCAGGGCGCCTTGTACGTCACACGAGTCACATAGAAGGACATTGGAGGTTTGTCACTTTCCCTGCAAGTAACATACAAATCAGTACTGTAATGAAGTGAAAACTATTTCGATGAAGAAATGCAAGGAATGGAAGGAACACGACATCTTTCAGTCCTAACAACTAACAAGACTTTGATTGCCTACTAGTAAAAAACATGTTAGGGTGTGAAGGGCTAATATGGTCAATTCTCAATGGCAAACACAGGTATACAAGTTACCCATTATGAAGAAGCAAATCTAAATAAAGGCCGTATTGCAGCAAGGCCAAAATAATTAATGCGAATGACACAAATTGGCAAGTTACACGAAGTAAAGCTACCAGCTAACTCCTGTAGCATTTCACGTGACTAACTCATTCAGACCCTGGTGTGAGGAATAACGGCCACAGCGGCAAGTGAAGCTACCTTCAAGCCGTTTGTCACTTCCAACGCGAACTGATTGATATGTGGGGTTTAACGTCCAGAAGTCATCATATGATTATGAGAGACGTCGTAGTGGAGGGCTCCGGAAATTTTGACCACCTGGGGTTCTTTAACGTGCACCCAAATTCGAGCACACGGGCCTACAGCATTTTCGCCTCCATCAAAAATGCAGCCGCTGCTGCCGGGATTTGATCATACGACCTGCAGGTAAGCCGCCGAATACCTTAGCCACTAGACCACCGCAGCGGGGCCACTTCAACGCGAAATGGACAGTGAGAACACTGCCAATGCAGAGGTACGAGCCGTCTGGTGATCGCTGTTGAAGTATGGCATGCATGACCACTCTTGAAAGCTCTAAGTATGCAGTTACTCCCAAATAGAGAGAACAAAATGAAAGAAAGGCTGGGAGGCCAACAAGAATAGTAGCATCCACTTTGGTCTTAAGGCAGTACCCTCCAAGAACCCACCAAGATGACCGGTGCATTTCTTTGCCAATAGGGCCGCAAATGTCGCCTGCCCTCACACACTTTCACCCCCATACTGACAGTGCTTTCCTTCAGTCAAAAAACAAAAGCGATGTCACAATAGCCCTTGGCAGAAACGGGGCCACTTGTTCATGCACAAGATGAACAGGTTATATTTACAAAGCACAATGACAGACAGTGGGCAAGTATAAAATGTGGAGCATACGAAAGGACAAAAAATATGGAGGTGTAACCCAAGGCGACAACTTTGCAAGGAAAGAGTTCTTAATTCGGCATGAAAAGGCACAGTTGCTGTAGGGGACATGCTCCAGTGTGTGTGGGGATGGCATACGAGAGGTGAACACTGCGGAAGCACCAACAGTTGACGCAGTGGTAGGTGCCAGACCAGGAGGGCAATGGCCGGACCACGGCGTTTCATCACTCAAAGCTTAGTCTCTGTCGTAAAGACACAGGCGAGCTTGGATCGTACGTCCTTGCAACGATCTGCTAACGCCATACACCGAAAAGAAAAGAAGCCCGAAACGGTGCAAGGCCGGTGCCTGCGGTGACCTTTGGCCAGGTACATGGATACCTGCAACTCTCACACCCTGAGCACCATCTGCTCTCGGCCACTCCTCTTGTGCTCCTCTGTCTTTTTCTCGAATCTCTTTCCAAGACAGTACCCACGCACACCAGCTGATAGCGCATGCTGCAATATAAAGACAATAAACTGTGCTCACCCGAGGAAGGTGACGTAGGAGTGTCCGTCAGCCAGCACAAAGCTGGAGCGGTCCCGGAGCAGGGCCAACAGACGGTGCAAGGCTTGGCGGCATTGTACAGAGTCATAGCGACCACTGCTGTTGGGCTGCTGCAGGTGTTTGGGCAGCGGCAGGTCGTGTTCCAGGAGCATGCCCACGCGATGCATGTGCATCCAACGCTGCCTGCGCCGATAAACGCGGCATTGGCTGGAGCAGTACTGCTATGAGTCGATCACGCGTCCCATTTGAATAACTTACTGCGACTAGATAGACGTGGCTTCACGTGTTCTCAAATGCTGAAAGGAAGACGAAAAGCTGAACAGCAGCACCTTTTTTGCACTTAGTATGAACTGGAGGAAGTGAATTAGAATAATCAGGAGAATTACGGGCATTGATTTTTTTGCTAACAAGAGCATGATGCGGAAAGACGATTAAGTTATAAGGGATATTAAATGTTCTTATAAAAGGAATGTCATAGTGACAAGAGAGAGTGAAATTAAAGCGAATGAAACAATTTACTGCCAAGGAAGTTGCACCAGCCGTCTCAGCATAACACGTGCAATGCTCCACCTATACGTGCAATGCTCCACCTATAATAACGGCTCTTTCTCATGCCCACAAATTTTTCAGCATTGTAGAAAATGATCCATTGTCCTATGTTATTTGGACCATGTTATCACACAAATACATCTGTATCTCAATGTCTCACTTATTTATTTCTTTATTTCTTTATGGACTTATGTCATTAATGATCTGGCAAGACAGGCCAAGTGTCACTCACTTTTTCATACTTATTCATAAACATTCAGCCGAGATAACCGCATCTGAGCTAAGCATTCTTTCCAGACAGTTATAACCTCACGGGTATTCTTAATAATTAAAGGATATTAACCCTTTAATGCCTGAATTATAAAACTGCCAAACAAAATAAAAATTGTTTTCACTTTCCAGCTTTAAACAGCAACATTTAAATTATTCCACAGTTAAATTATCTCAAATGCAACTTCAAAGCATACTTTAAAGTACATCACAAGTTCTCCATATGCCACAGAAGTGGAACCTTGCGGCAGAAAATGTACCGTGTTTACTCGATTCTACCGCGCCCTCGATTGTAACGCGCACCCGATTTCCAGCGCGAAAAAAAAAAAAAAAAACGTAAGACATCGATTGCAACGCGCACCCATTTTTTTTTTTTTTTTTTTGCTGGCCCGCACGATCAAACCACTCGAAAAAACGATTCCTTTCGGGATTGTCTTCCATTTAAATATGAGGTACAGGCAAAGCTACTGCCCATCTGACGTGTAACAGAGCATTGCCGTCACTGTAGTTTCACCGTGGACCGATGTCAGCACGCGAACTTGCTTCGCCCCCTTCTTCTCGACAGTTGTGGTGCCAGGCATGTCGAAGTAAAGAGGCGTCTGATCGGCATTCCAGATTTGCCCAAGCGGGTAGCCGTTGCTGCACCGCAAGTTTAGGACGAACCTCTGAAAACTGTAAAGCTTTTCATTGTACTTCTCCGCAAAAGTTTTCGCATATGCATGTTCCCCTTCGGAGGGAAGAGCCTTTCCTCTTCATATAGTTAATTAGCCAGCACCTGCTCGCTTTAAACTGGCTCCGCATTAGACTTTTTTCTAAGACTAATTGCACAGCCCGCACTTGGAGCAGTTCTGTCGTCACGGGCCGCTGTGCCGCTCGCTCCTCAAGCACATACTCGCGGAGCAGCTCTTCAATTTGCGGAAACCGACCCTGCTGTGGTTCACTGAAGCCTTTGCGTGAAGCTTTGCTGTCGACAATCTTCTGCTTTTGTTTCCGCCGGTCCCGCACGCACGTTTCAGGAACGACCGCGATGCGGCCCGACTTCCGTCCGTTTCTGCACACGCGATGACTTTTCTTTTAAAAGCGGCATCGTGGTGCACTCAGTTTTTGGAGTCGGCCCTTCCACGTCGTCGATGCTAATGCACTACTAGATGACGAACTCGTCAGCACACGTACGAAGTGCCGCACATGGTAAACACATAGGCAGAAATAGCCGACGCACCATGCCGACGCACGTAGGGGGCGGCCATTTTGGATTTGCGATGGCAATAGATTGACCGTAATTTTTTTGTTCGTACTCGATTCTAACGCGCATGCGATTTATGAACTCGCTTAACTGAAAAAAAGGTGCGCGTTAGATTCGAGTAAATACGGTACTTCAAAACTACGAAACATGTCATGTGCCACCTCTTAGGTGAATACATATCAAATAAACAAAATTATTGAAGATAGAACTTGCACTGCCCAGGCGAGAATGCATGAAGAAGTGAGAGCTGTTGCACGTGCTTCGCATTCTCTGCCATCCGCTACAAAACAACTTGTTCTAGCACAAAATACCTAAAACGAGACAGTGCTAGATTTTTCATGCTGAAAGCTATGTTCCCCGTGAGCACTTGACAGCCGTTATTAAAGGTAGCACGCATTTCGTGACTTGCTAACACGAAGTTTTTCGGTATGTTGTGAACTTGCGACACTCGGCAATAGAGGGTTAATCAGAACTGACAGACAATAATGCCTAAGAAAATATAGGAGATATTATTTGTGAAATATGCGTACACCTCTACACAAGTAATTATCGGGTTTTCCCCATTTTTTTCTTCTGTACGGTCGCCAACCATCGCACACCATCGACACCTGGCTGCAATACGCGCCAGGTTCTTGCGAGTTCATGCCTGTCTCGAAAGAGCGCCACCACAAGCTAGCCAAACACAATTTAAAGCCCAACGTATTATTAAACCCCATGCTTGCAGACTCAATTTGTGCTAGACTACAGTCTGTCTTCATCAAATTCGTTCCCGGCGAAGTGTAAATAGTGACACACCATTTTTATTGCAAAAGCTCATATCAACAGAAAGTTATTTTGCCGCTGAGGACAGCCGCATACCACTTATTTTGCATTCGTGAAACCTGTGTCGATGAATGGTGCAAACAAAAGAAGATCTTCAGCAGCACACCGACCAAAGAACGTCTACAGACAAAAAATGAGATAATATCCAGGTCTCGATGAACAAGCATGCAAGCGTTCTCAAGTAAATCCATGACGACCAAGCGTGCCAAAGTAACAGCCCTTGAATCGGAACACGTTCGACGCATATCCCGAACGACTGAAGAAAAGGAACTGCCAGCATGTTATGAGTAAAAGGGCACAACCCACGAGCCAAATGGTGCAACGCGGCGATGGTGTGCAAGACCTTGACGGTGGGCATACTCATAACAATGTGGCCACTTCAGCAAGAGCTTCCGCAACTAAGTCACACTCAGGCTCACGTATGGGTTTGGCTGAAGGGAAGCTCGTGGCACATGACCTGAGCCATGGTGGAAAACCCCAGGAGATGAGGTGTCATTGTCCTGTGGAGCGCGGCACACAGCAGGTCGAAGGAGACAGCAGCGCTTTTTCGGCGAAGACACTGATAACCCGGACCTTGAAGTAGCGGCGTGTGGACGCCAGAGAGCAGTCGTCAACCTTAGTAGACACAGAGAGACGCCCTTTAGACCTTCAGCGCCTTGCAAGAGTAGTTCCCGGGACATCTCCCGCTTTTCACTTTCTTAATTAACAGCACGGTTGTGACCCACTAGAAGATCTCTGGAGTGCCATGTCCACGGTTAGGCCTAACCTGCCAAGTGTCGCGACGATCGGGTTATGAGACGGAACAAGCGGATCACTCAACGAAGGTCGACCAACAATGACCACATGACCGCTGCAAGGACTCTGATGACAGGACACTTCGTCGGCTTTCCGAGTTGTCATTACAAACAGTAAGGACATTCGTGTAACGAAACTTGAGTAGAATAGTCTCGAAGAAACGGTAATAGCTTAATGACTGGCTTACGGCTAGTGGCGAACTTAAGTTGGATTCTAGTTAGTTCTTGTTTGGACTATTATGTACATGTTTCATTGTTGAGTTAATTTTGTGTGTTCAAAGATTTTTTTCCAATCCTTGTTTGATGAAGTTGGTGGTGCCACCATGATGTCCTGCATCTCTTTCTCTCAATCCTTTGCAAGCGCTCATGTTTAGTAAGTGACACAAGTGAGCTCCAACCAAAGTCAGAGTCACCGTAGTCGGCAAAGCAATATGGAGGAGATCAAGATGCCAGGCAGAGAACTTACCAGACGCTGATGTCCAACATGCACACCGGTTTCCAGAAGGTCACAAAAGGTGCATATGCACTGTTGTTCTTCACACTGCAAAGAATAAGAAATAAACAGTGATATCACTGCTCTGCGGACAATATTTGAATGAAACCTGAAAGCCAGGTCTATTACAATGTGACCACTTCAGCAAGAGTTTCCACAACTAAGTTACATTCAACTAATAAGCTGACCTACAAGCTAACAAAAAGACAGGCTAAGCATTTGTGCACTTTCATTAGAGTGATGGTCTGAGCAAATGATGCTACAACTCTAATCGTACCTTGAGAACTGGCACACTCAAACTTTTTTTTTGGTTTCCATGCACAGTGTTGCAGCATTTGTACATAAAGATGCAGTTAAATCTGGATATAACAAAATTAATAAATTTCTAAGAAAATTCGTTATATAGAGAACTTCATTATATGCAGGTTTGGTACGAACTTCGAAAAATAAACACAAAAAATTGAAGAAAAAGGGAACTAAAGGCTGACCTAACCTAAAACACTCATTTAGCGGTAAAAAACTGTATTATTACTGCGATTGCATGTTTATGAATTCTCTCATCGCGTTTATGTTGTCGCCCCCATGTGCAAATTGATGACGTGCCCCCCCACACCACAACTTTTACGTTCAGGTAAAAGCGTGCCAGCGCTGCTGAAGCAGAGATCAAATGAGCTAGCCCATCTTTGTTGCCTGGATGGCGCACGCCGTAACATACCCCCGCATTTTAGAACTGCCGTCTAATGCCCAAACAGAAAGGAAACCACCCGTTTGAACGAGCATGAAAAAACACAGGAGCGGGGGGGGGGGGGGGGGGTCGCTCGAGTAACAATGAGCTTTTATTTAAAGGGCGGTAGCGATCACTGGCACACATGCTATCTCGTTAAGTATCAGTGCATTTTTATGCGAAAGGCCTGTGTGAAAAGAGCACTTTTCCTGGAGTGGCCGTATCTGCTCACTCCAGCGTTTTGTAGGAATTCCGAGATATCGAATCCAAAAGTCTGCCAGCCTTACTTCGTATAACATTACAATCAAAATTTATTGCATAGCATTTAATGCATCACATCGTCATTTTGTTGCCAGAGCTAATTGGCTAATTGCGAGGTTTACAGTCCCACAAACTCGCGGCGTGGTGCAAGACTGAAGAGCGTGACGAGTCGACCAGCAAGATCTGTTTTTGTCATCGTGGTCTTGGAGAGTTTTCATTTGACATCACCTTGGTAGTGACGACCTGGCTGTTCGCATTGGAAAAACAAAAATGGGGAGGATAGCTGAACGTCGTCTGGGACTACCACCGTGCACACGCAGTGAAACGATGCACGCACGCATGGCATCGAAAACGAAGAGCGAGCGACATTGATACTGCTGGAAACTATTCGGTAAAGCACCCTGCATATGCAGCGCGGCCCAAGACATGTGACCTAACTAAAAGCGTTAACGCAAAAGTAGTTTTCTTTTTTTTGTTTTTGGTTTGAAGGGAGCAATCCGCACATGCGCATGCGGAGGCAAGACTGCAGCAACGCCAGCTCGTGGGGCACAGACCTGGCTCGCGCACATCTGCACACTATGAACACTCGCGACGCTCTTACATGGAAGTCGCCGAGGCCACAAGCACCGTGAGCGCCGCTAATGCTTTGTGGTTTGTGAGCAGCGAACAACCACAGAAGATGCATGCTCGGGCCAAAAGGACAAAATCTGGGGCGAAATTTCTGATTATTCATGACGAAAATTTGTTACATCAAAAATGTCTCCCCCTGTTACTTTGTTGCATAGAGGCCTCAAATACGTGTCTCAAATATGGGGTAATGGTGCGAAATAGAAAAACTTTGTTATATCGAGAATTCGTTCTAGGGAGGTTCGTTATAACCAGGTTTAACTGTATCTACAAATGTTGTATGCACGGATGTATGTTCAACAGTCACATATGTTTTATATTGCTCAAAAAGAGCTACAAACACTATTCGTATGAGCAGGCCTCTGGGTCACTTTTTGTGTGTCTGCACACGTTCCTCGTGTGCCTGCAAAAGTACAGCGATGGTGCCGCATCTGGTGCGACAGTTTTCACAGGGCAGAATGATTCAAGCTCGACACGATGCACCAGAAGTTTTGCAAAAAGCCTCGAGTGTCGTTCAGGACGACAGAGAATGCAGTGTGGGCAAGTAGCACGACTTGGCACTCACTTGGAGGAGAGGACAGGATGCCCAGAAGTGTTGGGAGGCATCACAAAAACTGGAACACCATTGCGGAAGCTCTCAGGCACCGAGTAGTGCACCGGGTTCTGGTTGAATGAGTGCAGGTGAACCAGAAGCTGGTCTGTACTCGAGATGCTGCAGAGAAGACCAAGTTCTGTATTGCGTTCATCAAGTGTTCTCTTTCAATTTTTACTTGGCAACTACTCTGTCCTTCTTTTTCCATAAACAAACTGCAACACAAATATAGAAAATGCAAATGAGGCGGCACAGAGCCATTACATTTGGAATTTAGTTCCAGTGTCTGCGCAAAACCGAAAGAAGAGTGCGACGAAAAAGTTGTAACGGCTGAGGCAGGTTCCAATCCCTTATGACTAACCAAGGCTGTAGGATATGTCAGAAGGTTGCGAGACTTCCGGGCACAGCAACAAGCTGTGCCTAGGGCAGTGCACAGACACGTACACACTCTGCCTATTCTTGCACATTAAGGGCACCTGTCAATGAAAATTACCGAATCATTTTCAAAAGAAATTGCATTTCACAAGTTTGCCCCTTGATCTCTGCTGTGGCCAATGTTATTTCGTATTCTAGAAATTATTCAGTTCAGTGAACTTCCAGTCACTATTTCCTTGGAACCTTTGAAGTTCAGTCAAGTATGATGTGCACTGTATAGCAAGAAAAACGGAAAGTTTTACTGAGCCAATGGGAACACAGCACACACACACAAAAAAGGGACACTAAGATGTGCAACTCCTTAACTGACATTTAATGTAGTGTACTTAGGTATCGTCGCGAAACTCAGAAATGAAACTTGGACCTCTGTTTCTGTCTTGCAAAATTAACCTACGATTGTCAAAATGATGACAACAGAGTTCTCAAGAAGTACTTTATCAGCCTAAATTTATTGAGTGGTTTTCTTTCGTGTTCCCCTAACTGAAATACATACTCCTTTGAGGGGGAGGGGGGCATAGCAGACTAACAACAAGCTAGTGAGAAATCTCAGTGACTGCAAGCTTGCTGCCCATTATGATGCGTGCATACCAATGTACAAGAAAATGCAACAAATAAATGGCGGCAGAACTCACTTCTTGAGTACATTCCAGTACTGCTGGGCCACCATGAGCCGAAAGGGGCTACGAGTCTTGTTGGGCTTGAAGTACTCGCACGTGACATCGTGAAGGAAGTCGTAGCTGGCCTCCACACACACCTCGAATTTGCAGCCTGCCCGCTGCTTGGGCCGTGAGCCACTCCCCGGCGAATCCCGACTGCAGAAATTCCCGGCAGGCCCCTTTCAGCTCTTCCTAACTCGGTAACTTATCAACATCTGAATGTGAGCCAAACGGTATGTATGCGTCTGTAACTCGGTAACTTATCAACCTTTTAATGCAAGCCAAGCGGTACGTATTCTTCTGTAACTCTGTAACTTATCAACGTCTAAATGTGCGCCAAATGGTGCGCATCCATAGGTAAAGCAGTACAAAGGAAACACTAAGAGCCAGACACGGCACTAGTGCTTGGAAGTAGACAGAAAACCAAGCCCTAGTCCTGTGTCTACAAGTCAATGTTTCCTTTGTGATGTCTTCCCTATGAAGACATAACTCAGCTTATTAAATAAACTCAGACCTTGATATAACAAATCGATATGAACTTTTACTCAAAACAAACAATATCCACGTGGATATGAAAATATAGATTGGTTCAATGGCATGGCACAAAATCGCACTGACAATGAACATCTCCGAGCGCCGCTGATTGCTTATAGCGAATGGAGTCTGCGCTCTGCCGACTTCCCGGGAAGCCACTTTTGACCACCGATCAGGCATTGGCGGGGTGCCCATATATTCTTATTGTATAACACCGACCCTGCCTCCGCGCCCCTCTAGTTGCCGCTCTCCCCGAATGCTTTTTGTTACGCACCCCTCCATCCCTTGTCCCCCCCGCTACTCTGAGCACCCCGCATCACCAGACGAGGCCAAAGTTTTCCCACTGCCACCGATCTTTTGAAGACACTTCGGCTATCTACCCTTTTTTTTTAATCGCTGGTACTGTCGTTGGCGTCGCCGGCCTGGAGTGACCAGACAATTTGCCAACATCGTCGGCCATCAACTGTATTCGATAGTCTGCTTCAAGTGCATGCGCTGTGGAAGTGCTGACACCCTCTGTAAAGTTGTTTGCGCCGCGAGGCGCACATGTCTCGCACAAAAGCCGCATTTCAGGTTACAAATATCGGGCAGTAGATGGCATTGTGTTCGCGACGTTGATCATCACTACCATCATCATCATGGTATAGTGCAGGCGGCGAGGGAGAAATAAGCTGGTCTCTTTTAGCGCAGGGCGGTGGCGTGGACGGTTGCCTCCAGCGGTGGGTATGCCGTGGACGGCACTGTGGGTTGTCAGTGGTGGGCCCATGTGGTGAGTCAGGCTTTGGCAACACCGCCTTGTTTGTCATGTTGAGTGTTGTTTGCTATTGTGTAAGGATGTCCTAACGTGTTGATTACGATTGATGTTATAATAATTTGGCTGACGATATCGTCGATTAAGAAGTAGTTAAATAAATGTGTAATGTTTGGTTCCGACCGCGTCTGCTGTGCCCGTTCGCTTCAAGAAGTGGTGGTGGCGCTCGCCAATTGGACACCCCACACTGCCAAGTGGCGCAAACAACCTGACAGGGTGTGTCAGCACCCCCACAACGCCTATGCTACCCCACCGACTCTGATAATTTGCGATTCGTTTCGTGTTTAGAACTTGTTCTCGCCCACTTCGCACTCGGCTCAGCATGCCCACTGTACGCGTGCGAAAGCATGAGAACGGCTGTTAATTTGCGCTTAACGAATTTGCAAAAATATTGAAGTTCGTGAGGCCACACAAACCCGCTGACGTAACAAAACGATTTTTTTACCACGGCCGTCAATTCTTTGAACACCGCCACGCGCACCGATCTAGGCAACCGTGCTTTGACTTCTGCGTGCGCAGGCACTCGATTTCAAGTTTTTCTACGTGCAAGTTGTGCGCTTCCCGGATCTTTCAAGAGGGCTGCTCATCCTGCTCTCATGTGTGTTTTGGTTTTAAAGGTCATCCTCCCGCCGCATCCCTCCCCTCTCTTCACTCTCTCGCAACTCCTTGCTCTTCTCTTGCAAATCTGCTCTCCTCTCTTGATCACAACCCCTTCCCCCATCTCCAACGCGCCGCGGCGCCAGCCACACTGGCCTGAATTAGTAGTTTCGTGTTCTGACTAGAAATGGGCCCATAGCTGTTACACACGTTCTGGCATGAGTGTCACGTGTGCGCGCCTTACTCACTCTTGGTGTGCGTGTGTGGTCAGGATGGCAGATGGGAGGACTTGCACGCTTTTTCCTGCCATTCAATAAAACGTCAAAAGTGTGACCGCTTGGCTTGAGCGTAATCCGCATGTTAGGTGCGGCATTGTGGAGCGCCTGCTCATAGCTGTTGACCACCTGGCAGCCAACTTGCCGCTTCGGGCGTCCCAGTATTCAGCTGTGGAGACGGTGAATATTTCGTGGGCGGCGGTGATGGCTACATGTGCGCGAAACTATTTTCGCGAGGCCGACTTTGTCGATTGTCGGGCCCGATGCCGAGCCTGGAGCTTCCGAACATGACTATTGCGGCGGCGATTTGTGGCAGCGTGTCGTTGAGTCCGACCTGGGAGAGCGACTGGGACATCTATTGCGATGATTTAATTACGGCCGATGATGATGCCGACACTGCGGAACCGTTCATGGATTGGAGCATTGTGAATGAAGTATGTGGTGAGAGTGATTTGGAGGAATCGGATTGCGAGAACGACGAAGCTTTGGAGCCAGTGCCTCATGCAGCTTATGCCAAGGGCCTCAGCAAACGAGCAGCCTGCCGTTTTAAATGAACTCGAGACCGCCCTTATCGTTTCTGCTCTTCGAAACACGTGCATCACAGACTTTTTGGGGCAAAAAAAGTTGGTGTTTTCACTCGCAACTTTTTTAAAAGCTGTACTTCATTTACTACGAACTTCGGGATACAGCGAACGGATGGCGCTTTAGGCTCAAGTTACCGTATTTACTCGCGTAATCCTTGCACTCGCATAATTATCGCACCCCCTACATCGCCCAACAAATATACGATTTGCTTTCCTTGAGTAATTATCGCACCCCGGAAAATTGCCGCAATAATGTTGTCTGCGCAGTTACAGCCGTTGATAATGATAGCCCGCTCCATCTGGCGCCATCTTTTAAGCATCAAGCATTGTATTATTGCACGGAGATTCAATCCAATCTAAGCCAAGTCAAAGGGGCAAGTGCGCTTTGCGGCGTGTTTTGTATGTTGTGTCGGTAATCTTGCCACATTATGGGGCGATACTGAAGCTACACAGCTGCTTTCAAGTTGAAAGTGATTGATCATGCCCTAAACAATGGCAACAAGGCCGCCGGTAGGCCCTTTGGAGTCGACGAGTTTTGTGTTCGCTACTGCTGACGGCAGCTGAAAGCCACCAAGACACGTTGGGCTTGCCGTGTGCCTAAGACTGATGTTGATGGTAAACTTTATTTCTTCAGAAGGAAACTGCGGATGATTCCATTATATAGCCATAAGCCCAATACTGATATGCTACGCTTACCTTTTGAGGGCTCCTGTTGAGTGACAAACACTACCGCTACGCCCGCAACGCCCACAAGCTTTGCGTATGGTATTCTAGTTCTCGACTATTTGCTTGAATTTTTTGTGTCTCAAATAAATTTTGCCTCGTGTTGAACCTGTGCTTTTATTGTTGAGGTAAGTTTTGATTAGTACTTTTCAACGCTTTTTGGTGAGAATCCCTATTTGCGACCACTTCGTTTTTTTTTTGCGCTCTAGTACGTTTTCGTGAAAATTTTTCCCCCTTCTCGCACCCCCCAACTTTGCATCTGTTTTCTGCCGGAAAAAGTGCAAGGATTATGCAAGTAAATACGGTAGTTATAAGCGGGCTCGACTGCATAACGAATTATTAGTTACAATAAAGTTAATGAAGAACAGTCTTGTAATGCCTTGTAATGAACACAATAGTATAAATACAAGTTTATAACAAATTTTTGATAAAACAGTTTTTTCGGGGCAGATGTCACTTTATTATAATGAGCATGGAGTGTACATCGCATACATAGCAATGACTGCTACCATACAGTTAATGTAGCACTTCACTGATAATGAACTCATGATTATCTATAACAGGTCATGTGATACACATAGGATCTGCGACAGCCAATCTGGTTCAATAAAGTAAGAGAAGCTGCCGCAGGTGTGCTGTCACACAAACAAGGTGCTGCAAGAATCAGCCAACAAATATAAAATAATCAATATTTTACTTGTCTTAGATATTGGATTAGATTGGATAAACTTTTATTTTGTCTTAGATATGAGCTCTTAATAACCAAACATGAAGATAACAAGTTTACATGTTTTTGAATGCATATTCAGTCATCTTTGAATTCTATGAAAAATATGAGTGCTGAAACCAGAGCTAAAGTGAATATTAACAGCGCAATATGCTATCAAATATTGAAGAACATGGAATGTTTTCACAAGCTGAAACTGTGGGGTCTCACAATGAGGCACGCACTCTCGGAGCAAATGAACACAGCAGACTAAGTCGGACCCAACCAAACTCATTTATTTAAGGGAGATGCTACTCGAAAAACGATTTTCTTTAATAAGAGTCTGAACTTAACACAAATTGGCATGCTAATAGAGTTTTTTCTCCTCTTTTCAAATATGTCATTTATTGTCATGTAGATTGCTTGGTTTTCTTTCTGCAGGTCGGATACTGCAAAATTATGGCCATTGTTATGCAACAATTCTGACCTATAAAAATTTGAGATAAAGCATGCAGATATAGCTGACTATGATCCTTTGCAACTGTAGAGAGCAAAAAACTATATAAATTTTGTGTGTAAACAGGTTAAATACAATAATAAAATAGAAAACCCTACTATGGCTCTAGTTGCCAAGGGCTTTCAATGTTATGTAATTTTTGAAAAACATAATCAAGCAGCACTGACAATCTGAATAGATACTTGCACTCTATGGGCCTTCATCATGCTATGTGCAAAATTTCATAGAGGTATGACAATTCTAAGTATACGAACTAGCGTGTATAAGAAGCACAGATCACACAAAACTGCAAAAGGAGAAAAACGCATTTGAAAGTTTGAAAGTTTTTTTTTTTTTTTATCACAGAGTTGTTAGAAATGCATAATCTTTGGTCATAATGTTCAACAGAACTTTGAAAAGCACTGCAAGT